CAAACTTGGAATTTTTCCATACAGAGGACATTAAATGGATTAAAGAAGATTGAGGACATGGTGAGGAAATATTCCACGGCGTCAGATGCTGGCAAAATCATTGTAGTGGAGTCTCGCATGTTTGGAAATTTCATCAGGAGCGATAACGGTTGGCACTTTGTGCTTTGCAATCATTCAAATGACCTCGTTGTGCTTGCGAGGACCGTGCACCGAGCTATATGCCCTAAAGACCCGGACATTGTGATTACCCTCATACCCCGTTCTATGTACTTAGTGAGTTCAAATCTTTGTACGCTCACACCCTTGTCCAGTGGTTCACCTTCATTCGCCCATTGAAGATATTTGGCCTCATTTAGTTTGGTCACATCGGTATCAGACGCCCCATGCAATTTGTATGATGTCTTTACCTTCATGGTGTTGCAATATAGCTACCACTATCTCGAGCGATGTTCAGGTGATCAAATTGTCCAATCTGTTTACTTGCATGTGTGCCAGTTGTTAACAGCACGCTGTGATGAGACTATCAGTAATGGGCCAGTACCCTTGCTAATAATTTCACACGCCTATCGTGTCTTGACTTGTCCTCCGCTTGTCAGGCTTCAAGAGCAATCCAAGACACATAGCAGATGCTCCAAAACCCGAAAATCAATTTCCTACTTGTTGTGCACTTGTGATTTGTCGTTGACGGTGATATGCCAGGACCATGAACAATTGAGGTTTGCCCAATTTTGCTTAAGCGTATACATGTTGATAGAAACGTAGTTACTGCGATCCAACATTCTTTTATTTTTGGGATCACTGGATTCGCGTCAGTTAACAATCAATGATGCAGTAGTGTTTGTTTTTAACCAGCTAGGAAGAGTAAATCTAGCGCTTTTACTAAAGTAGTCTTAATTAAATGAAGTAAAAATGATGGGTTTGTTAACGCTTTATATATACAGCCAGTTGTGAGAACGGGACCATTGTTGTATAGGTTATCAGCTTCAATCATCAATCAGCTATAATTTACTTTAAGGTAATTCCGTAGACACCTTACTGATCATTTAATTGCACAAAAAGCAACATTTTTCTGCTCCACTTTCACAGCTCCAACAATAAAGGGGTTTGAACTAAACTTTAAAAAACATAAAGAAATTCGTAACTTTTTACTTGTTTGTTTTTCATTCCTGTTCTAAGATGGAGAATGCGAGTGGAAAAGAAAATGTAATGACGAAGGGCGTCGCTTCCAAGAAAAGTGGAAACGTGTATTTTTTCACTGAACGACTGAGCAAGTGTGTGTGCTTGATTTGTTTGGAGAGTGTGGCGATTTTCAAGGAATTCAACATCAAGAGGCACTACCAAACGAAGCAAGCTAACTACGACAAGTTGACTACAAATGAACGAGCTGAGAAAATGAAGCAACTAGAAGCTGGAATATCCTCACAGCAAAGCTTGTTTAGCAAGATTCGGTCAGTGATATGAAAATGTAACAAAGGCAAGTTATGAGGTGGCAAGACTGCAAACCATATACTGAAGGCGAATTTGCCAAAAATGTGTGCTGAAAATGGTGGAAAATATGTCTTGATAAAAAGCAAGTTTGCCAATGTTTGTCTGGTATACAACACTGTGATTCGCGGAATTGAAGACATTTCCTCCGACATAAGACAATTAAAGGCAGAAAGAACACAAGTTGACTTTTTTCGATAGCCTGCGATGAAAGCACTGATGCCCAGCAACACATTTTTGAAAGATTATTGGTTTTGTGAGTAGCGTAATTTTTGTAGAAAGTGGAAGCCACGATTAAATGCACAATAACCTGCCCCGTCGAGGCAGATTATTGTACAAGTTTAATCGTAGCTTCTACTTTACAAACATTTTTGTAACGTTAACGATAACGTGTGTGAGGAATTACTTGACCTTCAGTCTTAAGGACCAAACAAGAGGAATAGATTATTTGCTTCCGTTTCTTCTGCAATCAATGACATTAAACTATCACGGCAAAAATATCTCTGGGATTATTACTGACAGTGCTCCAGCCATAAACGGCGAGCACAGTGGAGTAGCCACACTTGTCTGTAACAAAGTCAGGGAAGAGGGGGTGTAAAGCCAATAAACTCCCCTGCATCATTCATCAACAAGTTATTTGTGCCAAACATTTTGGGTGTGATCGTTATGAAGCCAGCGATAAAAGCTATCAACTATCTTCACTCCAAAACCTTGTTTCGTCGTCAGTTTCAGCAGTCTTTACTTGAGATCCAAGGTTAATGCGGAGATGTTGTGTATCACAATGATGTAAGATGGCTCAGATGAGTGAATGCACTTCATCGATTCTACTCTCTTAGAAAAGAAATTAAACAATTTATGGAAAATACTGGACAGTCTATACCTGAACTATCTAACCTTGCTTAGCTGACTGATTTTTGATTTTTGGTTGATATTACACGGCATCTGAACATGTTGAACACGAGCCTTCAGAATCAATATGTAGTGGTAATCCAATTGTATTCGCACATCAAAGCCTTGAAGAATAAGCTGCAAATTTTCCAAAGACAACTGTCTCAAACGCAGCCTAATACCACCCATTTTCCATCACTAAAGCAAGTCAGGACAAGTCTTCCAGAAAGAAACATCACTGCACAAATGCTGAAGGATCTCGCTGATATTGTATCCCTGGATGATGAGTCTCAAGGGCGTTTTTAAGACTTGGCAATCACTGAAAAAGAGATCGGGTTTTTTCCTCAACTTTCTCTGTGGACACTGACAATGTTCCAAGCCGCCTGCAAATGGAACTCATTGAATTGCAAAGTGATGTTGAATGTTGCAGTCGGCACCAACAGCTCTCTCCTAGATTTTTACAGCCAACTGGGTAAAGGCAGATTCCAAGAGATGCGGACATTTGCTAAGAAAATGCTGTTTGTTTGTCTCGACATACTTGTGTGAGCAGGCATCCTCAACTTTGGATTTTAACATGAATCGTGTGAGGACGAGGCTAAGTGATTCTCACTTTGTGATACCTTGCGTATCAAAACCAGTGTCATTGAGCCTGACCTGACCAGTATAGTGCAGTCAAGAACTCAGTTTCACCCTTCACATTAGAAACGCCATGAAAATTTACATGTCATATTTTGTTATTAGCAACGTGAAACTAAATGTGGCCTGCCATCTTTTTACCTCACAAAATGTGGCCCGCCTTGCGAAAAGTTTGGACACCCCTATTCTAGACGAACTACTATTTCGAATGGCTGTTCGGTGATGGCAAGAAATAGTGAGGAGTTAACATAGTTAGAAGTGCCTGGTATTTCGAGTGTGCCAGAGTGAAGCGCTACGCGTCGTGCAGTACTGGTCAGAATGTTGTGCGTAGCCGTGGTAAGGAAACCGTGGCTCTGCAGATCAATTCTGGCTTGTGCAAAGTTTGCAACTTACATGACACTGCAGAATGAGTTGAACAAGACAGCAGTCAGCTATCACGTGTGACGGCCTGTTGACATCATCCGTTGGCCTCGAGAACTCATATATTCGGTCCATGGTGGAGCCGGGATGTGCGCACCAGTGACGAGTCAAAGTAGTAGTAGTAGTATCAGCAGTATATTAAATAGACATAGAGCCAACAAAAACCACTGAGATTAGAGAATAAGAGGTAGAGTCACTGCGTTATTATCAGAGTAGCACAGTAGTTGAAGGTAAGCAACACACTTCAGTTACTGTGTCACAGAAAGAAAGGAACATTTTTTATTTCCTCACACGCCACATCTTGATCTTTTTAATTAGTAGGCCTTAAGCTTCTGAATCTAAGCAAGTATGTACACAGATCAAAGGAACGTACAATTTGACAAAAAATAGAACGAAACATCTTTGGCTTGTTTTTCACGCGCCAGTTTTTCGCTTTTTTGTCCTTTTCAATGTTTGAGGTATTAAACATGTGAATCAATACAATTCTGTAGACAATACTTCCACGAGTCAAACAGGCAGAGCCCATCGCTCAGCGCTTTTCCGCATGAATGGGAGTATGACTGCGTGGAACCAAATAGTGATGAATCTGTCCTGATACAGATAGTACATACATCAACCGACTGTGTCCAAACATCTAAACTAACACCATTTGTTAGTAAGATAGCACGGTAAAGATTCGAGCACGACATAACACGGTTCTTTGAGTAGCAGTGGTAGAAGGTAGACTCCGGAGTAGATAGTAGTTTGCTAGACATAACCCAGAGACAGTTTCAGTACAAACAGTCCGCCGGTGACCGAGTGGTCTGCACGCGTTGCATGCAAGCATAAGGTCATGGCTCCGAATCCGGGTAGGAGCGGACATCCTCGCGGTATACTCAGCCCACACACGACTGGTAGCGGTCGCGCGGCAGCGAAGCGCCGTTACGGAGTACAGCTGACGATTATTATTGATATCATTATTAGGGGAATTGAGAGAAACGAACGAAACAATCGAGCCCCTCATTAGGTGGAAAGAACGCCACATATTAAGACGCGTCCATTGATGAGGCAGACATAGTGAGTCTATTTTAGAAGCACATAAAATTTGACGTGGCACTCAGGTAAAATACACGAATCCAAGGCAGCTGGTTAATCTAATTCGGCAGTTGTTTGACTGTGAATAGTCAATGTACAACATAGCTTACAAAAGTAACGTCAGTGAATGGTGCTTTAACCCCCGCATTAATCCCGCATATCCCATATCCAACGCGGACCCGTAGAAATCGAACGGGGAACGCGAGAAAGGATTATGATTGTTACAGAAGTTCACCACACATTTCCTTAGCGTGCACATCTCTTGTAAGCAGACAACTACGCGTGAAGCTAATCCTAGGGTCATGAGATCTCAAAGGCTTGCGAATACAACATGGAAGAATGGGTGAAGTCTGCTAGCAGGTGGCCTGTGAGAGGTCAACGCACCTACTAGTCACTCGTACATGTGAAGTTGTGTGAGATATGAGTACCAGATGTAGGCATACTACAATCGTATCCCGACGCCTTGGTATCATTTTCAAGTTTACTTAAAGTCTCACCGATAAACTCCTGCACATCGTTCACAACGCTTTCGGCAAGGCCTTCGCGTAGAACAACCGATTCCAAGGGTCTACGTGGTCGGGGATAACCAAACGGGCGCCAGTCTGGACCAATAGGCTACATGAGAGGAAAGACGCACAGTACAAAGCAGGGGGATAAAGATGTGTTGCAAAAGTATGGGAAATCTGGTGCCAAAAATGAAAGTATACGGAGCAAGTCTCAACGACGGAGTAGAATTCCATTCAAATCGTGCGAGGATAATCAAAAAGATAAAGGCAAATAAGGCACCTGATTGGTTGGACCGTGTGTGAAGCACAAGGAGCAACGCTTGCATGACCAACGAATGGGCAGTCATTCAAAATGGCATGAAGGGTCAATTTTAAGTGAATGCTCTGGCACGGTTTCATATGCTGGAATACACCAACCACTGAAAGTTTGTATAAGTCCACTCGGTGGCAAGGGTTACACAATATGAAACCTACATTCGAGATGCACCGAAAGTGCGGTTCATTTTAGCAAGCGGAGGATGAAAATCTGGGCTATAAGAGATGTCGGCAGCCGGCATAATCAGATAAATAGGAGTGATGCCGTGTGTGGCATCATCTACTAGAAAGTAGGGCTGGGTCCCGATTAGCAGCTTTCTGTACTGTCATCGATAATTCTGTCATATTACAGGTAGTCTGGGCGAAATATAGCTTGCATGATATCTGTACGGTAGATCTTAGTAATGTTGAAAAGCAACAAAAAGGTTTTTATGAATTGTATAGAGATTTGTCGAAGTCAGATTCAGTCGGACAGCCAATAAACATAAGGAGAAGGGCAAGACGGCGGGTTCATCATATTGAGACTTGTTTGAAGCGCCTAGTTCAACTGGGTCCCGCGAGATTCAAACCCATAATCATAAGCTTACGAGACGCTGACTTAAGCTGATGAGCCATTGGTGGTGGTGAAAAACCGCTAATCCCAAGTCAGTGCTGTTGATTTACCACTGCTATGAGGAGCCTCAAGGAAACAGTCAGCCAGCGCTTAGCCGAATGTGTGGTGGCCCACCGATTGAACCCGCTCGCAATGGATCTACTCATAGGCATCTAAATAGTCGAACGGAATCGATCAGGGATAAATCCAAATCAGATAGTCCTCCACATGCCCGGAAAAGCGCTACATGACCGTTTTGACTTGTTGGGTCTCGTTAATAGTGTGCATCCACCGGTTCCATCAGGATCCAGACCTATGAGCACCAGCCCTATACATGGCAATTAGCTTATAAATCATGATAGTCCACCTCTGTCTCCACCGGATCAGTTGCATAAACTGCTGGCTAGCTATTCAAGCCTATGGTGAGCTTGGGTTCGGATCCTTAGGGACCCGATGGAAGCGCACTACTCGTTATAGAACAATCTTTCGGGGACAAGCATTCATTCGGCGAAATTAACTCAGCGAAAATCACAGCAAGTTTGGCAAGTCCAACTCCTTAATATAAATTGCCCGTTCAGATCCATAACTAACGACCCTTATGAGCCCATCAGGTTCCTCCTTTGATTCAGTTAAACAAGCGGTGAGTAACCCACAAGACTATCGGCCAATCAGTACCCAGTGATCGCATCCATTATGTGCGCCCCACATCGGTTGTCTAGCTCGATCGCTTGATTTATCAGTTCATTTTGATAGGACATTCCTGCTGAACTACTGGCAAGGCACAACAAGTCGAAACGGCCGCCTAACGCATTTCCAGGCAGCTGAAGGACTATCTCATTTGGAAGCTGCGGTGACGAACTCCCAAGTAATTACATCAAAAATCCCCTGCTTGTGGGTACATATAGATAAAATCATCAGATGGGGCTATTGATTACACAGTTATTATACGCATCTATCCACAGGTACGACTGATCCCGAAGCCTTCCAACCAGGAAGATGGCGTGCGATAAGTAGACTTAGGTAATCGATGAGTAACATTAGGTCTCTTTGCCAATTTATCGACAGGCCAAGGGGTTTCATTCAACTAGGAGCAGCATTAGTGAAAGGGATTAGCTGGATTTCATGCACATGGACGATGGGATCGAGTCAGCGTAGGTCATTCAAGTTGAACAGGGTGTCCCGAAAGGGCCTGTCACCATACGCAGCCTAGTGAACCCCAGTATTCATGAGATATAAATAATACATGTAAGTATTAGTGACTAAACCCAATGTTTTAATGCGCACATACAGAATCCATGGTTCCGCTCCGATGAGTAACTGCGTTATAAGAAGACAGTGATTCAAATGTTGAGTTGGATGCATAGGTTAAATCTGACGAGGTCATTAGAGGACGTGCCCCCGTAGTATGGGTAGCAAACAAATAAATTGTCTGGGAAGCGTTACAAACCAAGCACATTATTCTCGTCCCACCACTCTGGATACGGACAACGAGGATGGTTCGTTGGTACAAGTGACCTAGCTGTCAGCTAACCGGGGTAGATGAATTGATGGCATGCACACATTCGGTCTCTTAGTATCAGCTATTGAGTAAAAAAAATCAGTGCTGAGAAAATGGTTGGTAAAGTGTAGTGAACTATCAACCCAAAATCAGGAGTGTGACGCATAGGAGAGTAGTACACTGAAGCGATTAGAGCAGTTCCTTAGATCAACAGAAAAGGCCGAACAATGTGTAGCTGCTTGCGGACGCACACTGCGCGTCCGTTCACTACCTTCCTAGGGTGGGGCGGTTTGCGAAGGCCATTTGAAATACTCCCTAGGTAAATAGATTGCGACTCGCCATCTCCATGTGGACTGCGGTTCGCATCGAAGTGAACCTTGGTTAATTCAATCACTAGGACCGTAGTTGACGAAACAGGTAGATATTGGGTGCTGCCCACCAAAAAAAACATCACACTCCACGACGCGTTTCGACTTTATTTGATCTCACGGGGTATAGACAGCAGGTACCGAATCCGGAATCATTGGGACAGTAGCCGAAATCCTTACCACTTTAGCCACCGAGGGGAACGCTTTGCACGACGGGATAGTTTTATTTACCAATGTGATAGACATTGTTCGTTGGACGAACCCAATAACGTCGCTTAGTATGCTTCCCACGCATCCAGTGTCCGATTACGCAAACCAGACCGACTCCGACCCCACGGAACCTAGCCGACATATAGACGGTGAGCGGAAAACATGCCCACGCACCCATGCGACACGAACATGGTCTCAGGATCGCACCACGCGCGACAGAGAATAAGAAAGGCCTATCACACGAGCTCCTCTATTGTCTCAACAAGAGGCGATATAGACTGGGAAACCCTCTTAATCATAGCGCAAATGACACTACGTAGGGCATGGAAATTGGCGAGACGAGGTCGCTACTAAAACCTGCTGCGTCTTGATTTGGAGGTCGCATCGTCACCGAGCCGGTGTCACGTTGCGTTCACCCTTGATTGTCGATGAGAACGTTGGAGTCAGTGCTGCAGGTGCGTGTTTTTGCATAATACTTTGTAATGAACTAAAACCAGACACTACTGCGCCACGTGTCAGTAGTGTAAAGCAACCGGGAAAGCCAAACGATAGCAGATCATATCAAGGTCTAAACAGAAAAATGCTTGGGAGCAGCAGATGTACTAGGATGCACTAGGAATGGGCACAGAAGCGCGCGACATGAAACGTACAGAAGAGTTGGAAGATGAGTGGAACGTTCGGTGATCGGAGCTGATGCATACGGTTAGTGGTGTTTGCCGCAATAAACAACTCCATTTGTACCTTCGGATCTTACATTGGTGCCATAACCCATAACGGCATACCATTAAGATCCCAGGCAAGATGCGCCTGGAGAAACGGATGTGTGGACCATTAGGGATGTGACGCAGGCGGTCTTAGTGAAGACCGACAGGGCGAAGCTGGTGGCCCTGCCGATTCTTTTCAATGCCAGTTCAAAGTTGCGAAAGAAGGTTGCCGCGAACGCGTTACTCTACGGATTAGACAGCCCAGTCGAGCGCTAGGAGGCAATGCAGCGGTTCAAATGTTGGATTCAGTCGTTTTGGTATTCACAATCGGAGCCTGTTGGATCGTATCCTTTATGGAGTAGCGGAAACGTCAAGGCAGTAACTACTGGTGGATCAACAAAACAACAACAACAGTACATCAGCTATTTGAACTGATGCATCGCTGCCATACAACCATGATGACTCATGAAATAAAGAATAATAAGAGGAAGAGAAGGGAGACTTACCTGAAAAGATTAATGCCCTAAGCAAACATTCAGGGTCAAGGCGCCTACTCTTTGTTTAGACAACATACCGTCACAAACAGCTGGCTATCGTGCAAAGATAAGGCCGCATAGACGAAACAGCTTAATTGCGGCTTTCACTGCCCCGTATCATAATCAGCCATCACCCCGCAGACAACTCAGCACTAAACATACTTAAAACAGACAATCCGATTAGGAGACGGCAACAGACGCGCCACTGGTGTTTACTGCGAGCCTTGTCCTGTAGTCTCGAGCCAAGCACAAGGTGAGTCACGTGGACTCTAACCCGGAAGGCGAGACGGACCAACGGCACCAAGTTTGGTCGTCAGTGACTTCATTTCCCGCTGCCGAGTCAACTTCTGTCCACCTCGAGCCTTGCACCATCCTACACCTGGTAGACTGAACAAGGCCCTCCTAGGTAAGCGGTTACCAGGCATGCGTAGCACGTGCCCAAGTCAACGCGACTTATTCAGTGCTATCTGTTGTTCTAGAGAGGTAACAAGATTGTCACTACATAGTACACGCCTACGCACATCATTGTTGCAGACACGCTGGTGCCATCCGACTCCAGCAATGCTTCGCCGACAACGATGATCAAAGACTTGGAGGCGCCTCAGATCTTCAGACCGAAGGGACCAAGTCTCACTACCATAGAGCAAGACGGCCCTCACTGTGGCCTTGTATACACGGCCTTTCCGAGGGAGGGCAACTCCATTCTATCGACAAAGATGTCGCAGATTCAAGAAGGCAGCTCTGGCCTTTGCAATGCGTGAGCTGACGTCAGTTTCTATGCGCCCATCATTGCTGATGCAGCTGCCAAGGTAAGTGAATTGATCAACCATCTCCAGTACCTCGATAGCAAGGGTCAAGGGGTCACAAACTGGCTAGTGGTCCTGCA